CCTCTGGGCAAACTGTTCTGGAAAAAGTCAATTAAAAAGGATTCAGTCCCCACAGGTTCAGAGGAGAATGTGGTGTGTATATCACCAGTAGAGATTATAAACTCCAAGGAAGTAGAATCAGCCTCACAAACAGTGGATCTCAACGAGGACAGAGATGCTACACCTGAACCCACAGAAGTAAGACCCAGAAGAGAAGAGGGCAAACCACCAAGAACCTCCCTGATGGCGTTTTTCAGGCAAATGTCAGTGAAAAGGGAAGGAGAGAGCGCCCACTCAGAAGAAGTAAATGGGAAAGATTCAGACTACCAAACATCAGACTCTACAGAGCAGGCCACCACACTACCAGAGCCGTAGCTGGAGCCGGCCACAGCAGGCCAGAAGGGGAGAGAGGGCTCCTCGAAGGACAAGAAGTCACCAGTCGAGAAGAGCACGCAGAAAAGCAACAAGCAAGAAGCCAAAGTAACGGCCCCGAGCGTGGAGGAGTGTGTGGTCGAGGTGGACTCACTGCAGAACGGGGACAAACCCCAAAAGAGACCCGAGAAACGGTGGCAGTCCCTTGGGGGCTTCCTGAAGGGCCTGGGACCAAAGCGGATGTTGGACGCTGAAGTGCAAACAGACCCCGTATCCATCGGACCCGTTGGCAAATCCAAGTAAACAAACCACCACAGTTCCCACCAAGTTCTCCTGCCATCAAGATGCCTTCTCCCTCTTCAACCTCCTCCCCAAACCCGCTCCATGTATATATTTTTGATTCTCATGACCATCAAATGAAATTCTGCCTACCCATTAAGCCTGAGCTATTGTATATTGAGGTGTATTATTTACGTCTCTGGTCCAGTCTTTCCTGGTAAATAACTGTAAAGAGGGTTCAGTACGTTCACTAGTAAGGTCAGAAGAATTGATGGTTGTCAGGCAGGAGTAGGGAGGAGGTGGAGGAATGCATTCTAGTTAAGTGATGAAAAATGGCAGTGATGGTAAGCTGCAGAATCCATCTGCCTGCTAGGAGGAATAAAGCTTTGTAGTAAATACATGCTCATCCTCTGAGTTTGAAGAGGGAAAAACAAAATCAATTTAAGTTCGCATTTCAAAGGGGAAGAACACGGGCTGTATATTGGGAGATTGCCAACTTCCTGGAATGGAATGTGTGGGGTGTGACAAAGGAATGAATAAGAGTGGTTTTTCAAATAGGGTCCTTGAATGTTATTGATGAGAGGAGAATGATTGACTGGAGAAGGCCTGAAATGATTTGGGAAAACAATTGCTTTTTGCGGCTCAGTGACAAGGGCGAGGATTACAACTTCAAAACAAAAACAAAACACCTAAATGAAGTTGCAAGTTTATTTTGCAACAGCAGGGGGCGCCAAGGCCTCCATTTTGATCCCGCATCCTGTATCACTAACAAAGATTTGGTTTTCTGCACTCTTACATTATTAATGTTTCTCAGATGGCTGAGGGGCTTGCTTCATCTGTTCTGTCTGACACTTATCTCAAGTCTGTCTGTAATTTCCTAATGTTCTAAGGATGTGCTCTCATAAAACCCTCCCCATAACCCCAGTTAATAAAAAGTCACAGAAGGAAAAAAAAAAAAGAACCCTACCGAACCAAAATATTATAGTTGCTATTAAACTTTGTACCTGCAGCTTCTGAAATTCTTCCAATTCTTGTCTTGATTCTTCAGATCTCCTCCTTCTGTCTTCTTCCTGTTGAAGCTGGTGAGCCAATTCTAGATCCCTAGAACACTGGACTCTATCCATACCTATCAGATATTTTTAATGTTCAGAATAAAATAACTGCAGCAGTCAAAGCTTACTTATTAGTTAATACATATTTTTAAAACAGAGTAAATGCTATTATTTTGCTATTTATTCACAACCAAGATGTCACGAAATCCGAGTACAAATCTAGCAAAACTTACAACTACTTCTCCAAGGGAAGAGCCTCCATTCAAAGAACTAATATTCACTGAATGTTTAAGCTGTGACAAGCATTTTTCATTAATTATCTCATAAGGAAACCAGGGCTTACAGAGGTTAAGTAACATTCTTCAT